ACTGTACTTACAGGGATGATCAACAAAGCTGCTTTATATGGAATCAGATCATTGACCATTGTTTACACGGACTGGCTGTAACTATTCAGGTTTTGGACAGAGAAACATGGTCTTTCTCCAGAACCTTCTGACATCCTTTAACTGGAGATTCCAAGGATGGAACCTATGATCTTCTGCATGTGCTTTATTACGAAATCACAGTCCCTCTCCAGAAGAGGTAACATCAAAAATCTACAGTAACTAGAATATATATCTGATTTTGAAAGATCTCTCTTTTGCTTTTAATTCTTCATCAACATTAAGGACTGATTCCAAATTGAGAGGCTCTTATCACTTTGTTGTGAATCATGCCAATTTGTAAATGCATCAGAAAATGCATACTGAAGGCCCACCTGACTTATTTGATTCTCTTGTAGGCTCTCCTGTAACTACTGTATGTGTAAGTCCCCCAAACATGAGCCAACAAATATACATACACCTCTCAGTTTACATGCATGGTAGATAAATTCAAAGATGAATCTCCCCAAGGTATTTTTTAAAGAATTGACAGCTGTGGGTCAAAATACACGAAACACTGGAACTCAGCGATTAGATCTTGACAATAATTTTTTTTTAAGGAGACAGAGCTGTGTATTATATATTTTGTAACACACACCCTATGTATGACCATTATACTAACTGAGCCATCCCTTCCCATCTAAGGTCTGTTTCCCTGACAGAGGATATGGTCAGTTGTGCTTTGCTGCACCTCTGTTTCCATGGGCACAAACCAGCATGTCCAAATAATGAACTAAGTCTGGAGACAGAAACATATTTTACTTTCTGGAAACCATCTGTTAAGCAAATGAAACTCCAGTGCTTTCCAAGTACTTTGGCCCAGATTACATCTTCAGCTAAATTATTGCATTATTTTACAATCCTATTTTCTTATATTTCTGAATTTATGTCCCCCCCCCAAATATTATCTTTTAAGTATTTCCTTGTTCTCCTTGGATAATTCAAGGTTATGACATCTCAAATGCTCATGCAACTTGGTAACTACAATAGCCATGTGTTACTTTCAGATATATATGAAAGGGGGTGGGCAATGAATAAAAGTAAGAGTTGCGACAAACTCATTTCCAGCACCATGACAACTACCGTATGTAAATCAGATGAAGGCTTTCTTTTGCTGTGACTACATTGCCTTCTTAAAGCTTGTAGTCTCAAGAAAATAATACTATAGATATTTTATATATAAGAGAGTACATAGAGATTATCTTCATTTAGGAAAAATGTTGTGTGTGAACTAGCCCTAAATTTCATATTTTAATGAACCTGAAAAAGTGTGCTCTCAAATAGTTCCACTTTTACCTAACAAAATTGTCTTCATCTAGTAGCAGAGTTAATGACTGGTCATGTTACATTTAAATAGTATTACAAAAAGTAACTTTTAAAAAATGTGTTAGATACAAACACAGAACAGAAAGCAAAGATGAGGGTACCAGATAAAATTCCAAAGTTAGTGGGCAGACAGACCATTCAGTGTTTCTTTTCCATGGGGCCTTCCTCTGATTCAATGGACCTTCTGTCACTGAAAGCAGCCTTCCGTTAGAGGCATGGAAACTTTGGATCCAACTCTGTATCTGTAGCTCAATATCAAGATTGGGGCAGACATGCCCCAATCTGTTCCATTAGCTATATCTATTCACAAATATATATCCAAACTGGACATCTGTACCCCAGCAGCAACAGGGAATTTCTGTGTGAAACTTCTGACTACAAAAACCCTCCAAATAACAGACTCTATCTCCTGTGCTGATTATTTAAATTTTCTACATAACTAAATACTGTCTACAGAAAGCTGGTGGCTTTAGTTGATGATCTGCATCAGAATGTAGACTAGGGCTGCCAAGTGGAGGCGGGAGGGCGGGTAACCCCCGCTTTGGAGGCCCGATTTCCACCGCTGCGGAATCGGGCCCCGGGGGGAATCCGCCCCCCTAAGCGCAGCATGGCTGCATCACCAGAGGTGATGCAACCACGTTGATCACGTTGGGGGCGTGGCCCGGATCATCGGAGGGAAAAGTCTATGGTTTTCCAGAGATCGGGGCCACGCCCTCAATGTGGTCAACATCGTGCGTAAAGAGGGGGAGCTTGCACTGTCCCCCAACTTCCACCCTGCTGCCAAAACCACTGCTACTGGGAGCTGTTGCTCTGGCACTGACACTGACACTGTGATGCTGGCAGCAAGGGTGGGAGGAGGAGCAGCCTGAGCCATGGGATCAGCACAGTTAGTGGGGGGGGGGAAGACCGTGGAGGTGGGGAGAGAAAAATGAGGGGGAAGAGCATCAGATAAAGAGGAAGGGATGAGGGACAGCAGGGGAGACAGCTTGAGTGACAGGACTACTGGGAGCTGTTGCTCTGGCACTGACAGTGTGATGCTGGCAGCAAGGGTGGGGGGAGGAGCAGCCTGAGCCATGGGAGCAGCACAGTTAGTGGGGGGGGAAAGACCCAAGGGGTGAGAGAAAAACAAAGGGGGAGAGAGAGATGGGAGGAGAGGGGAGGAAGCAAAGATAGGTGGAATGGGATTCCCCTCACTGCAAGTTTCTTTTTGGGTTCTCACTTGTAATCTCTAATCAAAACCGGGGGCTGGGATGCGGTGGCGCAAGGACGCGCTGCCGATCCCACGGCCGGCTTGGGGCGCTCCAGACGGCTGCAACCACCTAGATAGGTGGTTCGTTTTTGCAGCGGGGTAGCGCCATTTGGGCCGGATCAGGGACGGAGACGGCACGCTCCCCAGATGTTGAGGTGGGATCGCGTCCGTTTGCTCCGCCCCTGTTCCGTCCCACTCCCGTCCCAAATGGGCTCGTATGAACGGGGCCAAAAAAGAGCAGTTTTAATTACTATTCAACATTTTGAAATTGTGTAAAGTTACTATGTTTCACATACATGCGAAATCATTCTAGTGACTGGAAACATGCAAGCCAAAGTGCAGAATAATATATCTTTCAGAACATATAGAAGCATCCACAACTGATGAAGTTTCCTGTTTCCTCTGCTTTTAAATATCTATGTGTACCCAACACCACAAATAAATGTTCTCAAATCCCACAACCACAACCACCTATCCAAAATACAAAACCACAACCATGCATTCAAAATACAGTTTTGCAGATCGCCTTACCAACTTCAGTTATGTAAGGTTTTCCATCTGATGGCAGAGGAATATACTGGTTAGAGAAGAAGCTGCTGCCATACCCCAAGACGAAGCCTTCCAGTTTGATGCTCGGACTTGGTCGAATATATCTCATGCACACTGAATCTCCAGTAGCGTTGATCTGAACTTTCAGGCTTTGTCTCTTAACTGAGAAAAACACAGAAAACAATGTAAGAGGTTACCATTTCAGCATAAATTTGAGGTGTAAAAAGAACATGCATGTTTTGAATAATTATTATAGGTCAGGTCAAAAGGTTAATGGTGGCCCATAGCATTTCAAGTGATCCTTCAAAGTAATGATATCACCATTTATATGTAATATCAAATTTTCAGAGAACAAACATCTAAGTCCTCCTAACCCCCTGACCATAATTATTCATCTTGTCATATTCCATACAAGTAGACACAACCAAGTTGCAAAGCAGTGGCTAATTTATATGTAATCACGCCCTACTGGGAAACTGTTTGGCATCCTAGTTCTTCTTTTAGAGTAGGTAAAAAATGTTGCATCCACTCTTTGTGTGGTTATTCTTAAAGGAACCATGCCCCCTTCTAATTTTTGTATATTGAATCACATTTCATGGCTTATAGTGGCACTCTGAGAAAGATCCCATTTTGCACAAACAGAGCAGTGCAGAAATAGGAATATTACTGCTCTTTCAATAGGTGTTATATAGGTTTTTTAACAGAATCCCTTTAAAAATATTCTTCTTTTATTATGAACAGTTAAAAGACCACTAGGGACTCACATTGTTTGCCAATTGGTGTTAACAGTTCATGGGAAGATGGCTTTACTTCTGTTTGTTACTTTCTTAGAAACTAGCTGTAATTCTTAATATTCTGAAAAAAATCTGTCAGCCATAGAAATCCAGCTTGGAGAACATATGTAACCCAGTTGCCAGTTACTGTTTAGACACCTCACTATGTATCCTTATCACAGAAATGCATTCATGACATTTTCTAACAACTGTATGTTCAAAATAACAATAAATAAAAACAGCAAATTGCAATAAAGCCATAAATTTACCACTGAAACTGAGCATCAACTAGCAGCAGGAGACTGATTCCCGATACTGAAACAGAGGCTTTCTGGCATCAGGTTTTGACTGAGAAATTTGGTCACTGTTACACTATTAGATTTATTTATCACTCTGATGCATTCCCTGATGCAGAGCCAATATCCTAACTCCTAGTAACATTACCCAGTCTTGGCTAGTTTTTGCAAAACATTCACACTAATTAAATGATATTGTCACATATGCTGTTCAAGTAATTGGAAGGTGCCTGTTCTTACCAAATGACAGATAGTAATTTCTCTTCCAGATAATGGTATTTTTAGGAAACAAGCACAATTCAATCAGTCTCTAAGTGTTGCTTGGCCCAAAGCACAAAAGTCAAAGAGTAAGTTTAATTAGGCTCTGAATTTGAGCCAACAGGCACGCATTAATTCCTCACTTTGTTTGTAATGCATAACATAAGCATCAAAAAAGTACAAGCAGGGAACCAACAAGGATTAGTGGGGGGTATCTCATTTCCCCCTCATGAAATAGTTTCCTTCCCTTTACTGAAAGCCCCCACAGCCTCTACTTTTCCTTCTTCCTTCTCCTTCCCACCCAGCAGCCAACTTATTTGCCTCCCATATTCAGCTTTTATCCCTTCCAGCTGCTTCTACATGGAAAAACTGTGGCCCAGTTGTGCAGTACCACCTGCTGGGCCAGATCCTCATGGTACAGAAGCTGCAAGGACTTGTAGGGGGCACCTCACTTCCCCCTATATCTGCCTCCCCACCCTATTTCCCTTTTCCCTCCTTCCTTCTTCTCCCCTTTCTCTGCATCACGGTCTCCTTCTCACCTATCAACTCACCCACTCATCAACCTATCTTTTATCGGCCTCCCATATTCAACTGTATTTATTTGGAAATCAAGTGATTCAATATCACACACTGATCTAAACATGACCGTCCCTCTCTAAAGCCTGTTTGTTCCTGTCTCAAAAGACCTTCCTGCTCCATCCAGTCTTTTAGCTTCCACTGTAAGTGTTTTGAATAAAGCTTACTTATTATACTTAGCAGACTGATCGGCCTATAATTAATAGGATCCTCTCTGTTCCCTTTCTTGTAAATAGGCACTATTATTGCCACCCCCCAGTCTTTAGGTATTCTACCAGTTCTATCTATAGTTGTAAATAAGGTAGCAAGAACTGGAACGCACCACTCGAGGTTCCTCTTGATCAGGTCTGCACATATAAGATCAGAACCTGGGGCTTTGTTGGAACTCAGGGTCTGTATGAGCAACTGTATTTATTATTTATTTACTTCATCTATACCCCATCTTTCTCCCCAATAGGAACCAAAGCAGCTTACATCATTCTTCTCTCCTTTGTATTCTCACACAAACTCTGGCTGCAATCACATACACTAAATAATCAACTTTCAATGCACTTTCTAGCTGTGAACTGGCAAAATCCAGTTGGAAACTGCATTGAAAGTGGATTGAAAGAGGATTATTTAGTGAGGGTGATCACAGCCCCTGTGAGGTAAGTTAGGCTGGAAGTATGTGACTGGCCCAAGATCACCTGAGTTTTCCATGGCAGACTGGGGATTTGAACCTGGCACTATCAGGTACTAGTCTGAGGCTACAGTCACACACACTGAATAATCCATTTTCAATCCACTTTCAGTGCACTTTCCAAGGTCCCGCGGCAAGCCGGGCGTTTGATCACCGGCGCGTCCTTGCGCCGGCACAACCCCGGCCCATAGCCAAACTGTGCATGCTCCGACATGCGCAGTTCAGCCGGCTCCCGGTCAGGGCCGTGTTTTCTCCCCGGCGTTTGATCGTGCCGGGGAGAAAAGGCGCCGCGGCCAGGGGATCCGTGGGATCCCGCCGCGGCGTCTCAACGTTGGCGCAGCTTCCCCAACTGAATTTTTACTGTGTGAACTGGGAAAATCTAGTTGGGAAATGCATTGAAAGTGGATTGAAAGTGGATTATTTAGTGTGTGTGGCCACAGCCTGAAGCTCTCATTGCTACACCACACTGGTTTTTGTATTGTGGTTGCTGTTCAACACTAGCAAGCAGCCAGACATGGAAGAGTAGTAAGTGGCCTGGTAGTTGCTGCCAGGCCTGGCCCTGATGAGTCCTCCCTCAAAGGCCAAAACAGCCTTGGAAAGGCCCCCTTCCCCTGCCTTTGACTGACAGAACCCAAGCCTGGAAACTGTTGTGGTTGCCTAGCAATGGCCACTGAAGGCATTTGTAGAAAGATCTGTTTTCTCCAGTCTCCGCATTTAAGTGTCCTCAGATTTTGCCAGGTTGAGAATTAGAATATACAAATGGGGGCCTGCAAATTGCACAGTGGGGGGGGGGAATCCCTTCCTTCTCAATACTGCTGCTGCTGGGCCCAGGGTGGCTCCCAGACTGCCATCACTGGGGTTGAGCCTGAAGGGGCTCCTGGATACATAGTGTATAGTGCATACATAGACAAAGCTCTTTATTTGTGGAGGGGTATAAACTGAAGCTGCCATCCTCCACCTTGTCCTGGTCCCAAGCAAAGCACCAGAGGGTGTTGTAGCGGGTGTTTGCAGCAGTGGTGGCAGTCCCCCCTCCCCCCACCTCCAATGTCACCAACATGTGGTGAGGATAGTGGATGCTGCCAGGCCAGAGGAACTGTGTGTGCAAACTCAGACAATGCTCCTCCATTCATGGTGGATTTAATCCCCCCCTTCCATTTTAAAAAAGGTTTTAGATTTTTCTGCAAGCCTGTCCCACCCCACATTTGTAGGAAAATCTGCCTTCAGTTAGTGTAGCCCTGATCTGAAGATATAAGTATCTGCCGATCAAGCTCCAGTTGGCTGTTAGAATATAAGATGAAGCTTTTACTTTAAAACATGCAAATGTGCATGCATTATGTGCTGAAGAACATTCTAGCAACAATTTATTATAGTTAATTAACCTGTATAGTCACAAGGTCCTATCTGTCACCATGCTAAAATTTAGGAGATATTTCCCCCCACAAATGTCATCCAGCACTGTCTTCCGTCATTGAGGAGGGAGCTGAAGTGAGACAGAGTAATAATATGGGCTGCTCTTAAAATAACCCTGCATTTGACCTACTGGTTAACACAAACATTACTCAAGTAAAATTTTCCACTCCTTCTGAGGATGCACCCTTTCACCACTACAGCAGGGTCTACTTCAGAGAACACCTCAGAAAGGGGTGGGCTTAGCCATGGGCCATGAGTCTAACCCCTCCACCAATAGAGGGGGAAAGAACAAGAGTAAGAGGTGGCTATGCCCAGCATCTCAGGGCTCAGGCAGGCCAGCAGGTGGTAGACAGCTTGGCAATCACTAAGTGCACCCGTCCCCCATCTCTTCTGGGGCTCAGGCAGTAGCTGGCTTGGCAGCTGCCATATGAACCTACTTTTATGGGAGAGGGACTAAAAATTATGACATCTTCATTTTCAGCCCAGAAGAAGAAGAAGAGATTGGATTTATACCCTGCCCTTCACTACCCAAAGGAGTCTCAGAACGGCTTACAAACTCTTTTCCCTTCCCCTCCCCACAACAGACACCCTGTGAGGTAGGTGGGGCTGAGAGAGCTCTTGACAGAAACAGCTCTTTTTCAAGAACAGCTCTTATCAGAACCACGGCTTCCCCAAGGTCATCCAGCCAGGTGCAAGTGGAGAATCAAACCCTGTTCTCCCAGATTAGAGTCCGCGAACTTAACCACTACACCAAACTGGCTCTCTAAATGATAAAGTCCAAAATTCTTTAGAAAACAGACTCTGTGACACTGTAAGAACATCAGGATATTTGTTTCTAACCGATAGTCCAGCATCCTGTTTCTAGAATCTCTGCCAACCAGCTAGACTTGACAGGCTGCCTGATGCTTGCTTTTTATTGGTGTTTGTCCTATTTTCAATTTGGGATGGATTCATCAGTGTGAAAAAATAATAAGCGTATTTATCATGTTAAGCTTCTTTTAATACTTAATTCTAGTAGGTTTGATTCTTTACACCACTATATCACTTATACAATTCAGAATTATTTGTGATCTAGTGTTCTGCAAGATATGATAAAGAGAAGATTTTAAAAGAGGATCGACATCCAGCTTCCTGTATCTTGTTCTGCTTTGTTCTGTTTATCACTCTGAT